AAGGTCCCTTCCAACCCAATACAACTGAACCATCTGAAAAGCCACTGTAAAGGAAAAACCTATGAGGAATTACTCCAACAGGAAGAGATGGCCCTAAAGAAAACATGCTGATAGAGATAATGTCTTAAGGAATTGTCCTAAACACAGCTGCTCCATCCAGAACACTCAAAACCAACCAGAAGTTCAGGAAGATTTCAGAGTTAAGGTAAGAAAATATAAGCAGTAGTGATTGCAGTTGTCTCTGTTCTCCATACGCATTGATTTGAACCACTATATGCAGATTTCTTCTTGCAACACACAATAAAATAGTGAGTGAATGAAAAATACATGCATTTTTCTCTGAAGCTTATCTATTTATTTTTTATTATTATAATTTTGTGGTTTTTTTATTTTTTACCTAGGTTTACTTTCAGAAATAAAGCAGCAACTGAGGGAGATGCAAAAAGACCATTACATTTAAGGATTTCCAAAACCTAAACTTAAGTTCCAAATACGACATCTATGATGGCTTTATCCATGACATCCAACAAAATTAAATTAAAACAACCCTATTACGGAAGTTATCACAGGTGGTAACAGAAGCTACCACGGATTGTACAGTATCTGTTCAACTTACCCTGCCTCCATAGAGGATTGAAGGAGGCTGGAGGACTCTACCTGTCACATCTGTCATTTCATCTTTGACCATTATTCCAAATTCACGGACGTAAGGGTCGGTGTTAAAACTCGCACTCCGCATCTGAAATTAAAAGAAATTCAGATATTTCTTGCAGAAAAAGAAGTTCTTTTTATGGTATCTAAAACCATCTGAGCTAATCTGTATTTGGGCACATAGCCCTTATTATACAGGTGATGCCATGCATCCAGGGCTTCAGTTAATTCCACCTGGATACATGGATGCCTCAAAATTTGAAATAAAGCACCAAAAAATCCTTTTAAAAACCTTTTGTGAGAATGTATTTCTCTGATTAATGGACAAAGGCTTATAAAAACAAGTTTAACCTGTGTGTAGTGCACAAACTATTCAGTATCTGCTAATGGTAAGAGAAAAATTGAATTAATTACTGCTCGTCACTAATCTTCAACAGAGCACTCACCAATTTGCTGATCTCTTCTTGCCGGTCAGGTGCTGATCTGGCAGTCGCTCGAATCATAGTGGAAGTTTGATTGTCAGTGAGTTTCTTTATGCATCTTTGTCCTGCCACTATGTTGCACACCTGAAATATCAAAGAAGTTAACACAAAAGAAGTTAAAAACCACAATGCAACTTGCTTTTCTGGTTGCTTTTTTTTTCTCTTTTGTAGAAATTGTACTGAATTTCTGAAGTTTCAGAATTTTCTGAAGTCTCTTTTCCTCTGACCCCTTCCCCCAATCCCAAAACCCAGTATTATCTCCAAGTCCACTTGCCTCAAGAGGGAGGTACGTGTGTTTCTGCTCCTGTCCGACTTGTAAACATGGAAGGTGAGGATAGCGTAAAACTAATTTGTGCCTGTCCTTAAAATACTGAGCTACAGTGCATTCAACTGTTTGTCCATTCTTGAAGTGGGAATCTGTGGAAATGAAACAAGAAAATAAGCCATTATTTTACATAGAATACTTTTCCCACACCTGCACAATGTACTTGTCAGATTAAACCTGTATTCTCACTTTCTGGACCTGACAAATACATTTCTGTATATGCACGCATATTTGCATATACTTACATCAAGGTGGAAAAAACATAGTATTTTCATTAATATATCACTGAAAGAGTATGAAACCAAAGCCCAAACAATTAAATACCAGATTTAGATATCGGTCTTCTTGTAAAAAGCTGCTATCAGTTTTGTTCTTTATACTGCTATCTTAAAAATGAGAATAAATCCCTCCACACTCAACTTCTATCTGCAAATCTCTGCTTAGTGATTACAAATAAACATTTTTTTTCCAGAGGAAAAATATACAGGTAATAAGGAAGATCAGAAAGCTGATCCCCACTGGCACTACTTTTCTACTCAACAGTTCTGGGATATGTCACACTACCAATAGGGTACTGTGAACTACTCTGAGGTGTATTTTAAACGTACTGACCAATGAAAGTATCATTTTCAAGACTTTTTCTGGGTCAGTAAGGCAGGTAAGACTCTATTCAGGCCTGAGATTAAACATACACTTAAAAAGAAGCAAAATACTTTACGTTTGGTGACTTGCTGGTCGTCTGGTGACGTTGCACACTCGGTACTTTCTTTTCATTTGTCCACAGTGTGTTATCTCCACCTTCAGACCTAAAAATTGGAAAACACGTATCACTGCTGCTTCCAAATCAAGGTGCCAGCCCCCTAAATTGCTACACAAAACCACTTAAACTGCGCAGTAAAGCTGTTCACTATTTAGCATGTTCTCGAAGCACTGAAAAGTATCACAGACAAAACTCAAAAAACCAATTTATAGTCTTAAAATTCAAAAACCCTGTGCGTCAGCCAAAGTTCAAAGAAGAATTTGAGAGACCTGACAAAACCCCAAAGCCCCAAGACTTCTCAGATGAAGCTGAACACATGCAGCGAATCTCAACTCTGTACCTCTAAGGAAGTCCACGATGGGGGAAGGACATGAAGGGCACGCGATCCCCCTGAAACTAAGAACCTGTTTATACTTTATGTCTAAACATACGGTGTCTGTGAGACCTCCAGCTATTGCAACCAACCCTGACCTAAGGATTGGGGGGGGGGAAAATACCCATACAGCCCCTAGGTATGAGGCCATGAGGCTTTATTCTTTGTGAGGATAAACATCTGTTGCAACCTCTATGGGGACAAAAGCCAAACCTACCTGAAAACCTGTGGAAAATAAATTATCCACTCAAAACCTGCACAACACAGCTACCTGTGAAGAACTGTTTCTAATTTACCATTCCCCACAAATATACGCTCGAATACAGCGTTCTCATTTATATTACTTTCATGCTTGGGCAGAAACAGATGTAGGTGGGCCCTTAGAGACAAGAAGTCGAGTGTGTGTGAATAGGAAAGAGAGGGATGGAAACAGGAATTCCTTCTGTAGCTGCACATGTGTACAAACTCAGGTAGCTGCTGAGAAATAGTGTGTACTTCCTCTATCTGCCACAGGCACTAATAACTCACCAACCACCACACGAATCCTTCCATGTAATTTGTTACAGCTCAAAGTGCCACCTATTATGAAACTTTCACTAAATACCAAGTCTTCATGAACACCTCCAAAACCCACATCACAGTATTTTCATTAAAAGATAAACTGTTACCTCAGTGCCCCAATTCACACCTCGCTTTGCTGCAAATTTGAGATGACTACTTTCTATCTAAAGAATGAAAATCCTCATGGGAAAAAAATGACAAAAGTGGCTGGAAATTCAGTGTTTGATTTTTTTTCCCCAAAAACATTTACAAACAGCAAAAAGTCAGGATTTATTTATACTTTTCTTGCTAACTTCTGGTTGGGCAAAGACGATTTTGTGGACATTTTGTAGACACAAGAAAGCTGCATGGTGGATTTACGGAGTTTCTCTTTTTTAACTTGCTTGCTTTCTATCAAGCACACCATGAAGGAAGGACATCAATTTTCCAGAAGAAACCTTCAGCGAAAACGAACAGTAAAATGTGCTCCTCCTACTCTTTGATTCAGTCATTACATACTAGAATAACCATAAATTTTCTTTCAGGAGAGTATATGTATGAAATACACCTAATTATGTGAAAACACATTGCTAAACTATCAGTAAAATCTGGAATATTAAAATCTTGACAGCAGTATTTGGAAAAATTCAAATCATTACATTAGGAAATGAAGTATCTTTGTCATGGATCTGGGATTGGAACTACTGATACGTTTCGAAAGTGTAAAACAGGACTTTAACTTTCATTAACTCATATGTAATCTAGACAGGGGTATTTTAAGAAGAGTAAAGCACTACAGTAATACAACTTCTAAGGCAGCTGCTACAGAAAATACATTGAATATGCAGTGGTAACACACCAGACAGAATAAAGTAGTTTGATGTAATTTAATTATTACCTTTTATTTCTTTGGTAAACTTTACCCTTTGGGAATCTGTCAGAGGTTTTTGTTGTTCTTCAATACTTTTGAAGTCCAAAACTTCACATACAAACTCAATAACTGGCTGTGCTTTGTAAAATGCGGTTGCAGATACTGTAGACAAAAACATTGATGTTATTTTACAACAATGCTGAAGAAATTGTTAAGAAATACAACAACACAAATTAAATTTTTGCCTTTTCACTGAAAAAGAAGGAATAAGGAAATATTTTTATAGGACCTACCATCAATATTTAACATCATTTTCCATAACGAAGGTCTGACCGATTGATGGAAGCCAAACCAAACTTCTCTACCACCACCCAATGGATTGGAGCACCCTTCTGATGCTGTAAAAAAAGATCGCCCCACAGGAGTATATCTGCAGGAAAAGACAATAAATTCCGATCAGAAAATTAAAGCAGGAAAAGGAAATCTGCAATAAAGCCAACGACAAGGTATTAAACCAATGTCTTAATCTCTCCCTTTACTTGTGCGTAGCTTCCTCCGAAAGCCATGGAAACTCTGCATGGGTGAATGCCTGATCTAACAAATATTTTGGATGCATCTTTCATCGTGGTTATTCGGTAGCGCACACTTAGTATCAAACTCATCAAAACCAGCGCTATTATGTTTCTCTGAACAAAGATGCGTGACCAATGAGTCTGTGCTGCAAAACCTGACTAAAGTGATTTAAGAAAAAATAAATTCTTAATGTAAGGATAATGTCTATGTAATATAAGGCTACTTAAAGGTACATAAATTTCACTCATTTTGTCTGCTCAGCCCTTCAAAATGGGAAAGTTGAGCCCTACTAAGCTTTGTTCTTTATTTTTCAGTTGAAAGTAAGTCTTAAGTGACTTGTTTCACGGCAGTAGAATTAAACCCAGTATCTCTTGGGTTTGACTGCAAATCCTGTAGAACCCCACTTGCTTGGAAAAAAATCCAAATAATTTTCAAGTTTTTCTTTTCTATGAAAACAGCTACACAAGATGACATTAATGTCCCCCTAGCATGATCTCCTTTATATAAAATTGGCAATAAACATCTGCCCCAGGACACATAGGAACAGGGTAACTCATTTTAATCCCACCCTTATCCTCTCTAGGAGAGGGGTTCCTTCTCCAAGGTCGACAGAGAAATGCGGCACCCCGATATGAGAGTACGCCAACATAGGGTGAGTCTGAAGACCACTGGGAACCAGACCACTGTGTCCAGGCCAGAGGTTATTAATTCCACCGTATGAGCAGAAAACCACTGCATTGCCTCTTGTCTAAGCACCCCATCTTCTAGATAGCTGTTACTTTGGTTGAGTTATGAAAGCATATCCTACCCAAAACGCCACTGAAACAATTCAAGTAACAAAGTGACCTCCTAAACAACGTCAAGGTGCTCCCCTCACCTCATGGAAGGCAAATGCCTCATGACTACATCCAGCGCCTGGATGGTTTCAAAGGGGACGCTCGGCAGCCGACCAGAAAGAGCATCGTGTAAAGCCTGCAAGCTCACACAGGACATCCACTTGATAGCCACCTTAAATATTCTGTCCTTCCCCTCTCCCGGCAGCGTGACCTCCAGCTCCACCTGCAACAGTGACAAACCAACCAAGATGATTCTTTCCATTTAAAAATCGGGGTTTGGAAGGGACGATGGGTTCCTCTGAAGAGCACGGGAGGAGACAAAAAGCAATGATGAAGAAATAACACACATTAGGTACAGTCCCTTCTAACAGCTCCATCTTTCCCAAAGTTTATTTCAGAAAGCTGGAGCGCTTCCCAGCTGGCATCTACCTCCCTCTTTGAGGCAATATTTTAATTTAGAAATGCTTGCGTATCAACAGGGAGGTCTCCATGAAGATGCAATCGCCTGATTTCAGATACCTAATGCATGCCAATGCACGTCAGCTCCTGAAATAAAAAGTGGTTTGTCAACACCTGCCAAGATTCCTGAATTTCTGGTGCTTGTATACTATTGCTGTAGATGTGGAGAAAATAAAATCTACAATGAGATTTTAAAAGGAAAAAACCCAAACATCATCAGCCTTCCCCAAAACAAACAAGCAAAAACACCAACCACAAAACCCACCAACCCAAAAAAGCTCTTATTTCTAAGTATCATAAACAAACTATGACCCCCAAGCACTACTGATGCTATCAGGCAGGAAACAAGAGTGCTCCTTCGACATGTTATGCTCTACTTGTCTAAAAATCACTGGCAAGCTACATCGTAGTAAGTTACTTCAACTGCTTACCTGTAATCACTTGTACTGCTGATTTCTTTATTAAAACAAAGAAAGCCTGAGCACAAAAGTTCTTAAACTGACTAAAACTAAGGCTCGTCTGAAAAGATGAGGAGTGCTGGCAGTGACTGCAAGAAATAACAAGATCAGAGTATTTTTCATGCTGGATATAAACAAAAACACTGCATTTTCCTGTCCCACGGAGCTTACCGTTTAAATATAAAAGGCATCCCCTTAACAGATAAACTGTAATTAGTGGGCTAGCAAAAACAATACATGGGTAAAAGCAAGCTAATATATGCGATCATCTGGTCTTTTGTGACAGTTAGCATCTTCAGTGTAAAAAATAGGGAAGGAACCACAGAACACACGTAATAAGCAAAATAAATGAGTTGAGAATTTCTAGCAAGTGGTCAAAATTAACATTACAGCTGCAGCTCTCCTCTGGTACAAACATGGGTCACCAGGAAACTGGGTAGGAATTGCTATCCCTGGTAGAAAGACCCAGGACTGAAGAATTTCTATTCCAATTGCTAGACTGCAAATACTGATTATAGGTTTAGCAAAGCCATGACGGTGAATTTACACCGCTGAATCTGACCCAGACTTTTGCTGCTGAGTCTAACTACATTTCAAAACAGTTGAGTCTCTGCTCAAGTAATGGTTAAATCCAGCTTTCCAGGTTTTCTTCCTATAGTATTTCATGTGAACGACACATCAATGAGTTCATGTTTAAAAAAAAAAAAAAAGTCATAAAAATACATTAGGACCAAAAAAGCGTGTCCTTAATCCACACCCAAAAGATCACGTGTACTTTTAAGCACTGCTAATCAGAATTTAAATCTCTCAGTAATATTTTATTTATTCCACTCTGTATTTTTAAGGGCAAATTAATACACGTTTGACAGAGTAAGAAAGCATGAAAAATTTCAAGACAAAGTAGTTTTACACAGGAATTTTACCAAGTACTTTACTATAACAAAGAAGCTTTAAAACCAAATTTAATGTTTGATTTCCTACAGTTTCACCAGGTGTAATCTATCTCCAAATAAAAATGTTAGAGTCTCTCTACGACCTGCCAGACCCATTGCTAAACTGCAACACAGCTGGCAATTTTGCAGCTAAAGGAACTAAATGGAAGGGGTTACTGTAGGGATGTGAAAAAACATTAAGTCTATGGAAAAAGTGGAAAGCCGTTCTCCAAAAGAAGAGCTCTTGTAGCTGATAAGTTTCTGATCAACTCAGCATATCACTGTTTAAAAATAATATAAGTTAAACCTGACCATGTGTTTCTAGGGGATTCTCAGTTCTCCTCCTTCTCTATAAAACATATGCAACACTACGTGACTATTTTATCATGTTTTGAATACACAACGTCCCTTTTCTCTATTGAAGCAAGAGCTTTTCCTTCCCAGGGATTCAGAGGAAAACTGATGCACAATTTCCAGTCGAATAACTGGACTCCCATGGACTTGTCTGGAAAACTTAGGCTACTGGTGTAAGAAGGATCTGATTCTACAATGTAGAGAGTCATTAGCAGTAATTTAAATAGGAAAGTCAAGAGGAAATTGTTTTTTTAATTAAAAACTGCTTAAGATGCACATTGAAGAAAAACTGACGTGTCTTAATCTCATTAGGTAATAAAACTTTCCAGTTCAGTTAAAATTTAATTCCAGCTTTTAATTGTAGAAGGACTTTTTAGGGAAACTCATGAATAACACAGTGGTTGAATACAACGCCACCGTAAGAGGTGACCCAGGCTTGCTGTTAGAACCTATGAGGAAAGTGGTGGCTGTTAATATCTTTATATATTATTTATATATCTTTATATAGATGAAGACAGAGTGCATTAATTAATTAATTAATGGCAGTTTGGTGT